GACCCTGATGTGAAGGCAAGGAAAGAATCCGAACCAATCTCTCTTGGATAAATAGATTGGGTTTCTAAATATAGATTCCGACAGCCTCAGCAATATGTAACTGCCTAAATATTGAGGTAAAATTGAGATTAGTCGGCATATGGTAGATGACTTTTAAGCCCTTGTTTATATCAATTCTGTGTAATGCTGGTACTTTGGTCTACATTGACTTTTGATTCATATCCTTATCAATGAACTTCTCTAGGTAACCGTTCTCACCCAACAACTGTTTAATAATATTAAGGTCTTAATTAAGACATTCATCAGACCAGATTGCTGTTGCTGTGTGGATCAATGGCTTTATCAGATTACGTTCGTACTTCAAAAGTACGAAGCTGCAAAACGAGTTTGCTGACCAGTTGATTTAGGTATTCTGTACACACTTCTTATTGTGCCTTCCTCTTTGCTGGTCATAAGGACGTCCAAAAATGAAATAATATAGCCCCTTTCTTTTACGATGGTAAAATTTATCGCAGGATGAACATCGTTAAATTTGTCCAGTATGTTCCTTACTTCATCCTTATTTTTCGTAATGAAAAAGTTATCACTCATGAGCTGACAGTAGAACTCTAGTTCACGAGTCACATCTCTCAAAGGCCTCTTCTCTTGTTTTGCAAGGAAAATTTCCGACAGAATGAGTCCTAGCGGTGATCCTTTTACCACATCATCAATCTTCCTTTAGAGTTCCTAAGTAAATAAAAAGTAAACGTTCACCGTGCATTTCAAAAGAAACCCATTTATAAAGGATATAGAAATGCCGACAACGATGTTTCGTCTCACGTACCCTTCACATAAAAGGTGTGATTTTTTGATAAATGGTACATTATTGAACAAGAAAGACGCGTCAAGTGATATCCTGAATTCATTTTCGAAGTTTAAATTTTTCGCCACTTCAACAAATCCAAAGGTGCTTCACCAATTCACTGTGTTGAGGCTATGAGTTTGGCTAATCATTTGGCCATAGGATTGTATGGTGGATTTGACATATCTAGTACTGACCGACGTGGCAAACCATTTCTGTGAACTTTTGGATAACCATACAACCTCTGCGTGGATGTCCCCGTGGGTCTCTGTGATGTTTATTGACTTTGTGAGACAAAACCTTTTTGTTTCAGTCTTTTCAGTGTTTCAGCCAACTGTTTCTCTATCTTTTCAATCGAATCCAGAGTGTATGAGGTTATTTGGAATTTTAGAATTCCATTAAGAATTGCACTCATCTCCTCTAAGTAATCTGTTTTGTTCTATACTCCTTCCATACCTGTAACCACTATCTCCCATTTCTAATAGTTATGGTTAATCAAAGTAAAAAGCAACGAACCTAATCTCCTATAAAACTGGTGACGATTTTAATTTCCTTGATTGCTACATCAAGCAACTTACACCCTACAAACGGTCATAGTGAGTCACATAACTCGCTTGTATGCCCTAGGCGTCGAGCTGGAACTGAGGATAAAACTGTACTGACAGCTAGTAATAGCACTGCTCCTAAAAGTTCAGTACCCTCTGCTCATACAGGACCCATCCCTTCGCCTTATATGCTTATCGATAAACTCCAGCCATCAGGCTCTTTTTCAGCACTATCTTCAGAAATAGAACTTCTAAAGTTTTCTATAGGAGAACTTAAGGCTGAGTTAAGGGAAATAAAGAACAATAAGTCAGTAAGTGCTGGAAATATTGAAACCAATACCGAGATATCCAAATTATCAGATCAGATCAGCGGTATCAGATCGCAGGTCTGTGAACTGACACCTCTAACTATCCTCATGAAAACTGTAAACCTTAACAAGCTTGACACAGAATCGGTAACTAAGGTAGGTAACCTCATTAATTTTGTTGCCACAGAAGTAACAAAATGACTCGACGCAAAACTGAGTGTTATTGTCTACAACGTTCCGGACAATGAGGCACTAAAAAGGGTACAGCGCATCTTACTTAGTGGGGCGAAAATGCCTAACTCCAAGATTAAGTGCTATAGGCTGAAGAAGAGTCAACATGAAAAGTGTTGTCCTATTCGTTTTCAGTTCGAAACACCGGCAGAGACTAGACAATTCATCCACTCCCAACACACCCTATCGCAAGCCAGAAACTACAAACTTATAAAGGTCGGGGTGGAAAAAACAGTTATAGAAAGGCGCGCATACAATTATCTCACTAAGCCTAATTGTGAAATAGGTAATGGGACATTGCAAGCAGCCATTATTCCCAAGCCTGAGAAAGATACAGTAGACCCCACCGCATCACCCCTCTCAAAACACACAGAATTATCCCATCAGAGTGCAACACCAGCCGAAAGGCCACTAGACTGTAACCAAATAAATAATAAAACCATACCACCTATCAGCGCAGAATCTAAAACGCCACTAAATAACCCCAGAAAAAAGCCAAAACTCCCCGCAGTTCGACATTGTTCTCTCCTAGCCATAACTCCATTGCTAAAGATAAGGATAATATGCCCCTACATCATGCCGACAAAAACAGTGGCAGCTTAAATAAGCCCACACTCCCCACGGTCAATAGTATTAGCACTCACAACGTGCTAAATCGCACCATGGCACACACTAATATCCAACGTCACAACGATGTCACCCTCAATAGTACAAGTGGTAATAGTCATAACTCAGCTACCAACAACTCAGGGTCTTCAGAGTATGGCACACAAACAAATTTTGACCGGATATATGGTACAAGTCTGCTGGGAACTAACCCACAATGCAGTACATACGAAACCCACACAAGGACACAACTGGCATCAAACAATAGGTGGAATGAAAAGCCATGGTCATCACAAGGATCCAATCATTTTTTATCCCCCGCGTCCCTGTCAGCATTGAAAAAACAGCTGGTAGGGATGTCAACACTCCTTAAACCACTAGAGCTGGCTCCCTCCTTGCATGAAAACAGGAACGGTCTAGTGCACCTGTATCCATTAGGCACACTTGACACTTGCACAAGTATAGGTCAAATAAAGAACCCTACCCACTTCTGTAACCTAACTAAAAATAAAAATTCCTTAGTCTACAGCAAATCCAGTACTCCAAATCTTAATTCTTCACCGACGACAGCATACACCAACTCGATGGACATAGGTGAGCATGATGCTTAAATTCCTCTTAATAATAATAATAATGTATATTCTCATATAAACATATAAATTTACATGAAATTGCATGCCATTTTTATAGGAACGATCAAGTATGATGTAATATCAAATCGTAGATTGTCTACAGGTTAATAATGTTTCGGTTGTTAAATATTTCATATATATATATACACTCATTGTCTGAACCAGGCCGTATAGTTATTGAATTGTACAGTTGTCCTCCAGGTTGAGCGGGAAATCTACTTCGTTTCGTTTTCATCCCGTGGTTGTCGGCATTCGATAACCAACCAATATTGAGGTAAGTACAACTTTTACAAGGGATTGAAAGCTGTTTTAGAAAAGTAAAAGTGCATAGGCGAATCATTAAAGTGCAACGAAATGCTGTCAATCACGACTCATAAACCGTTAATGCCCAGCTCTTGCTACGCTGGGGCCCACGCTGTTCCTTGAAGATTTCAGCAAGGCTTAGTTATAACGGACGAAAAAACCAAAACACCGATTGGCCGCTTGAGATTTCTTTATTGTTACACCAACATATAAAAATAATAACTGAACTAAGGTGTGTGAACAAATATTACAATAATAAATCATAAGATTACTTCTGACGGTTTTCTGCTGACTTCTTACAGAACAGCGACCGATGAGACGATGACTGTCGTATTGATGCCCCCGCAAAAATTGGGGAAGTTGGTTTTGAGCAAACAACCAAGAATTGATCGTTCAATCTTCAACTCCATTGACACTTCCCGGCAAAAAACGGATCCAACCCCTTTTTTCCTTCACGACCAATACACGTTGACTTGGATGCCATTGCGAGAACCTGGGTCACACGGACAGAGCTGAAATGGAAAACAAACAGAAAAGCCAACACGCCACAAGCATACTCACAGCACAATCTCACACATCAATGACGACCTGCGCCTTCCAGTTAAAGGCATCCTCTTGCAAAACAATCGCCACTTTCTAGAATGACTCTTGCAGAATGCAACGTGACCATGGCAGCACCTCACGATACTCTACGCTCATCCTCTTATCTACTCACTACCAATTACCACTGCGATCGCCTGTCACTCATTCTGCCTCAGTTCTAGTAACGGTGACGTATGCGAGCCTCAGTCGTCTACACTCTCGCTCCCCGGCGTGTGAGACCACAGCTAACAATTATCTCCGTGTGCATTTCATTCTCAGCAATAGCCTAGCCTCCCCAGCGTATACGACCCATCTGCTGTCTCTACCATCAATCAATTCATTCACGAATGTAGAAGACTCGAAACAACTTCAGAAGTAATCACGACGAAAATTTTAACAAAATTATGCAATAACAAGAAGGTACGAAAACAACGAGTAAAAACAATTAATCCGAAATCACAAATTAAGAAGACACACCACACGTATACACAAACAGTACAAATAACCTCGCGGATCATGTCTTGGTGGAATTATTTTGAAGAATTGGAGAACCTACACCAGTACGCCTACAAACCTTCACAGGTTGACGATTGTAAGTTGTGGAATGTCCAGACACAAACAAGTTTAACCAACAACTACATTAATTGGAACTCACACAACTATTTAACACAAACATATGTACAATCAACACATCAAATGTTGCGGATTCCGGCATGACAAACTACCCTTGAAGAACTGTAGGACTTGCAGCAGTACGCCTACATTCCTTCTCAGGTTGATGATCCAAGTGGAAGTCGTCCGGACACAAACAGAATTACCAACAGCTAGATGACAGATGATACCAATTCAGTATATACAATATGAACATATGTACAAAATCACACACCGAGCACATTGGACTGCTCACTGATGCGCTACCCTTTGAAGAATTGTAGGACTTACAGCAGTACGCCTACAACCCTTCTCAGGTTGACGCCCTAGGTTGGAAAATCATCTAGTGTTTCCTCCTCCGACTTTCGACTCTCAGCACCTTCCAGGAGACACAGTTTTCTGATATCTCGCACCAACATGCCACAACTAGTTCTCACCTCAACCGTCCTCACCAATCCATCACCACTACAGATCAGCCTTACCACCACTCCCAAATGCCACCTACCTGTGGCACATTTATCTGCTACTAATACTATGTCACCAACCTTTAAGTTTCGGCACAACTTTTTCCACTTGTCCCTGGTTTGCAGTGTTAGAACATACTCCTTTAACCATCTTTTCCAAAATATATCTTTGATGTGCCTGGCTTGTTTCCATCTTTTAATCGTAGGTATTCGTTCCCCGCTTGCGTCCTCTATGCCAGGGTTGTTTCTCAATAACAATAATTTATTTGGGGTTAATACATCAAAATCCTTGACGTCGTCCCTCACAGGTGATAACGGCCGGTCATTTAATATTCGTTCAGCTTCACAAAAAAATGTCTCCAGCGTTTCGTCATTCAAACTCTGGTTTTTAATTATGGAGCTTAAAATACGCTTGATAATTCCCATAAGTCTTTCCCATAGCCCACCTCTGTGGTGAGAGCAGGCTGCTAGCCGATTGGTTGGCACTAATCTACGTTAAGGTCTAGGTCACTAATATGGGCCGTGAACAAGCCTGAGTCAACAACCAATCACAGCAAAGTTAACGTGGCAAAATATGATTCGCAGAGAGAACTCTATTTGTCAAGGAATCCCGAAACAACCAATCAGAAGCCTGCGTTTGTCTACCTAAACAACCAATCAGATGACTGCGCTTGTCTATAATAATGTAGTTGAAAGATGTATAAATACGTGTTGATTTTCATAATAAAACGATCTGTTGCCTGGCCCTTGTCTTCTGTTGTTACATTTGGTGTCGCTGCCTACCGACAAATGAAAAGCCTATACCCTGCAGTTTTTGATGGAGACATATGGATCTTCGGGCAGGACTTCAAGGCTTCTGCGCAGTTGAGTGGCGTTCAAGATCTGTCAGCGATGGAGCTGCTACTTGAGACGCTGCTGGGAGGTCGGGCGAAAGCAGCATATGAAGGTGTGGGCCGAAGTATGGACGAATGTTCGACAGGGTCAGGCAAACAGTTTCCAAAGTGGGAAGGACCATATATGGTCACTTCGAGATGGGGTTACGCAGACACAGTCGCAATGGCGAACAATGAGAGGCGCGTGAACGTCAGCGAGCTCCAGAAATGGATACAGCGAGACAAGCCAACGATGACGCCTGCACCAAGTAGATCAAGCCGACTTCAGTCGCACGTATTTGACGGGGGGACGAGTGTGGTGAGAGCAGGCTGCTAGCCGATTGGTTGGCACTAATCTACGTTAAGGTCTGGGTCACTAATATGGGCCGTGAACAAGCCTGAGTCAACAACCAATCACAGCAAAGTTAACGTGGCAAAATATGATTCGCAGAGAGAACTCTATTTGTCAAGGAATCCCGAAACAACCAATCAGAAGCCTGCGTTTGTCTACCTAAACAACCAATCAGATGACTGCGCTTGTCTATAATAATGTAGTTGAAAGATGTATAAATACGTGTTGATTTTCATAATAAAACGATCTGTTGCCTGGCCCTTGTCTTCTGTTGTTACACCTCTATGGCTGGCATGTGGTGGATTGAAGTGCCACTCGATGTTCCTTTTCAGTAACTCTTCCTGAACTCTCGTTTGAGGACCTTCGAAGTATTCTTTAAGCTCGGCGTGACAGCCAACAAAATTAGTCCCTCTGTCGCTGAACATCATCTTCGGTACACCCCGGCGATTTATAAATCTATGTAATGCTAGCACGAATGAATCAGTAGTTAGCGTATGAACCATCTCAATATGCACAGCTCTCATTTTCAAACAGGTGAATAAACAGCCATATCTTTTACATAGGGTTCTGCCTCTCTTCACTACAAAAGGTCCGAACAAATCCACCCCAACGTACTCAAATGGATAATTCCCTTCAGAAGCTTGCCACGCTGGGAGTGGTGCCATCATCTGCTGTACTGGACGAGCATTTCGGAGTTTACATTCCATGCACTTATCAATTATTTTACGGACAGCAGTACCTCCCTTCACTATCCAGAACTTACATCGAATACTTGATAGTACTTGCGAAGTACCCAAATGACCTTCAAGAACATGGTAGTGTCTTATAATGAGATCAGTGACTGGATGGTAGCAAGGTAATAAAGCCGGATGACGGGTCTCATATGACGATTCTAACATTTGTAGACGTCCACCAACTCTAGCGATCCCTTCGGAAACTATCGGAGATAATCTATCTAACCGCACCTTGAAATCTGCGAAATCGGGACTATCCTCACCCCACGCTTCCCACTGAGCAGCCCTCAAAATCGCTAACTCTGCATTTCTAATATCTTCGACTCTCAAAGGCCCCACATTCATATTTTCGTATCCCGCAAGATGCATGACCTTTAAATACGTAACATATCGTGTCAACCACGCAACCGCTTTCAGTAGTTTGTACCAAGAAGAATAATATTTAAAAAGTGGATGTAAACCTGAATGTCTTTCTTGAGTAGATGTTAAACTGACACTTGTCTTCAACTCCAAGGCACACTCGTTTATCGGTGGTTCATCTTCTCTACGAGGCCACATACTATCAGCCCTTAGCAAGAACTCTGGACCTTTCCACCACTTATTTTTAACCACATTCATATCAATAACTCCTCGCGAGGCTAGATCAGCTGGATTTTTTCCAGACGGTACGTACCTCCACTGCTCAACAGTTGTTAGTTCACGAATTTGAGATACTCTGTTAGCTACAAAACATGCATATCTTGCTGACTCGTTGCGTATATAATATATCACAGACATCGAATCAGTCCAAAACGTTACGGGATGCTTGGGGTAATCCAACTCTTTACACACCGTTGTGAATAACTGCGCAGCTAGTAAGGCGGCATTAAGTTCTAATCTCGGAATCGAAACCGTCTTTAGAGGTGCAACTCTAGATTTACCCATCACCAGGCTAACATCTATATCATTCCTTAAGGTGGTTCTGATGTATACGGCTGCACCAAATCCAACCTCAGAGGCATCAGAAAAAACATGGAAGTCAATTATATCATGATTTCTCGACGGCTTAAGTGGACGTGAGACGGAATGTAGATTCAGCATTCTTAAACTGTTAACCCACCCCTTCCACTCTTCTCTCTGCCTCTCACTTAATGGTTCATCCCACTGTAACCCTTTCCTGCATGTCTCTTGAAATAACCTCCTAGCCGGAAGTAGATAAGGTGCTACTAATCCAAGTGGGTCAAACACGGACGACAACACAGAGAGCACACCTCTCCGAGTAACTGGCTTATCAATATCACCAACACTAAATCCAAAGGTATCAGAGTTCACATCCCATCGCATACCTAATGTGCGTTCAACTGGTAGAGTATCAACAGGCAAATCTCGTACGGTAGGTGCTCTGTCTTCTGGATCTATATGCTTCAAAACGTCTAGGCTGTTCGAGACCCACTTAGTTAGACGAAAGCCGGCCTTAGCTAACACTTCAGTGATGCTTGTTGCAAATCTAACTGCAGACTTATCATCATCGAAGGAGGCTAAACAATCATCCACGTAGAAGCAACAATCTATGACGTCCAGCAAATCATTAGAACCAAATGTGGACACTGCCTTTCGTAGAGCAAAATTAGCACAAAATGGGGAGGATGTGGCACCAAATGGATGCACTGTCATCCTATATTCTGACACCTTACCACAAGGACCGTCATCAAACCACAAAAACCTCAAGTGATCTCTGTCACTCTCTGGCACCTTCACCTGTAGGAACATTTCCTCAATATCCGCCGCGACAGCAACTGTAAACTTTCTGAATCTCAATAGCAGTCCCACTAATGAGCTCACGCAATCTGGGCCACTATACAGATTATCATTTAAAGAGACTCCTTCATGTTTCGCAGAACAATCAAACACCACACGGAGTTTACCTGGCTTCCTCGGGTTAAAGACGGGATGATGGGGCAAATACCACTTCCCTGGCTCACTCTGATCAACTAGTCTTTCAACGTAACCCTTCATTATATGTTTATCGACGACTTCCTTATATTTGGACCAGAGTTCTGCATCTGACAGGAATTTCTTCTGTAAACCCATTAGTCTCTTAAGAGCAACTTTCCTATTACAAACCAACTGTCTATCTTTGAATCTCCATGGTAGGCCAACGCTGAAACGCCCGTTTTCGTATTTACAAGAGTCCTCGGCTATTTTAACTGCTTTAAGTCTTCTACAGAACGACCCTTCCCTGGGACACCGCAGTCACAAAACTCCTTGTCATACATATTTTTAATCATAGTTTCTAGTTTGTCCCCATCGTTTGTAACTAATGATGATATGTGGACTATGGGTATAGGTCCTCTCACTGTCCATCCCAGTGGTGTTTTTGTCGCAAACAGATCATCTCTACCTCCAAATCTCTCTTCTAATACCTTGTGAGCTTCTGGCACACTACATCCAATGAGTACTCTCACTCTTCCATCTTGCAATGTTGGAAGAGGTATGTCACACAGGTATGGCTTACCGACAACCGTTTCACGACTAGGTACTATAGCTTCGCCAAGTTTCATACTGGAGGTAGTGTAAGCAGTATCCACTTCCACGGTCTCCCCAGTAGCCAAGGATTCTAACTGAAATGACACTCGCTCACATACTACTGTTTTCGCAGAATTGAAAGTATTTACAACCAAGGGTTGCTTTGGGCCTTTAATACCCAAGCAACCAGCCAGTTCAGCATCTATCAATGTAACGTCTGAACCATTATCCAACAATGCATAAGTCTCTACTGAAGATTTCGGTCCTTTCACCTTAACTGGTAATACCCCTAAGAAAACTTGTGGGATGTCAAGGGGTCTAGAGATACTATTACAATTAACCGAATTCCCAGGTTCGTTCACTGTTCTCAGAAGTGGGTGCATATCCGTTAAACCACTACTTCTTTTATTTGTCGCCTTACAATTCCACTTTGTATGCCCAATCTTTAAACAACTGAAACACAGCCGCTTCTGCTTTGCCATTTTTAACCTTTCTACGGGTGACATAGCGATAAAGCGATTACAATCACTCAATTGATGCATGTTATGGCAACAATACACTCATCCTTTCTCGTTGTGTCTTGAGACTTCACCACAAATGCCTTCCTTATATTCACTGGTTCCTTAGGTTCTACCTTAGAATGCAAAATGCTGGCGAATTTGCCCATCGCCTGGTTGACACTGTCCTTCACCAGTCTAAGAATATCATCAAACCTTGGCTCGATACCCTCCTCCTCTATACGAGAGCTTATTTTTACCCATTTCCTTTGCAGCCGCGTAGGTAGGCGTCTTGCAATTACCTCTAGGACTGAGCTCGAGTTGAGGTCACTCATGCAATTCATAGAAATCAAGGTATTCTTATAAGTCATAAGATTATCTAAAAACTCAGTAAGTGCCTTGGAGTCATCTTGAAGTTGACTGCCATTACCTTTGACAGCTTCGTATACGTTCCTTACAATCATCGAAGGTCTTCCAAACCTTTGACGTAATATGCTCATAGCCTCAGCGTATCCCTCATTAGGGGGCATGAGCTTACAGCACTGTATAGCTCTTGAAGCATCTCCAGTGCAATACCTCATCAAATACATCAATTTCAATTCATCACTTAATAAAAAACTACTCAGCATGATCTCAAACTCCTTTACAAATTGTAAATAATCAGCCGGGTTTCCATCAAAACACCGTGGTTCAAATTTAGGGAGTTTGATGTTCCTATTATCCCTGAACGGCGAAACAGTAACATCAACCATGTCATGCTTAACATCAGACACATCGTTACAATTAACAGACAAGTCACCATGACTTACTTTCCTGTTTGCATCCAAGACACTCTGTCCCTTCTTTGACCCAGGCATTGTTGAACTTGACCCAATTCCAAAAAGTTCCAGATATTGCTTGTTCAAAGAGGACTTGACCGGCACCAGGAAAGATGAACGGCGACTATCCAAACTTTCACCAACTGTTGAATCCGCCAAATCTGTTTCTATCGTCAGAAACTGTCAATCACGTCTCATAAACCGTTAATGCCCAGCTCTTGCTACGCTCGGGCCCACGCTGTTCCTTGAAGATTTCAGAAACGCTTAGTTATAACGGACGAAAAAACCAAAACACCGATTGGCCGCTTGAGATTTCTTTATTGTTACACCAACATATAAAAATAATAACTGAACTAAGGTCTGTGAAAAAATATTACAATAATAAATCACAATAATACTTCTGACGGTTTTCTGCTGACTTCTTTCTGAACAGCGACCGATGAGACGATGACTGTCGTATTGATGCCCCCGCGAAAATTGGGGAAGTTGGTTTTGAGCAAACAACCAAGAATTGATCGTTCAAACTTGAACTCCATTGACAAATGCATTTATAAAAGAAACTCCCTAGGCTGACAACGTTCATTTGCAATGTATAATGCTACCCATATAGTTATTACTATAATGATGTCCACTTTTGGTTTTAATAGATTTTTCCTTATGCCGGTTTTTCTATATTTCATACCTTTTTGTGCATTTGGTGCACAACCTTACCCTACAGAGAATATGAATAGAATAAGTCGAATCAAATTCATAAAGAGCTATGTCAGTCACGTCTCGTAAACCGTCAATACCGAGTTCTTCCTGCACTCAGGCTGACGCTGCACCGTTAAGTTTCTCAGAAACGCTTATAACTAGCGGACGCGAAAGCAAAAACAC